GCCCACTGTCCCGCCTTGGGCCCAGGTCCATCAGGAGCGGTGGCGCTGGCCCAGGCCTGCAGGGACGGCAGGGACCAACCAGCCCGACCCACCTCTGACCCCCAGCCCACCGCAGCAGGCGCTATCTTGTACTCTTAAGTATTTTTCCTGATTACACGCATAACCTGTCCCATGCAAAACCTGGAAATACGTGGAGCGCAGAGGAGGCCAAAAGCGCTCCTCCATCCTCCCAGAGCCAGCAGCCCGGGTCTTGCAGCACCGCCGCAGGCTTCCTGCCCAGAGCCATCTGGTCTGCGCCCCGTCCCTTCCGCTGAAGCCCAGGGGTCATGGAGACGCCCGCCAGGCTCTGTTCCCCACGCTCCTTCCCTGGACCCCACTCTGCCGTGCTTCCGGGCTCTTATCAGGGACCCGGATGTTTGTGACACTGACCACGCCTCCTCCCGAGCTGGTTTCCCGGAGCGCCGGCTGCCGCAGGAGGCAAGATTTTCTAGTCTTTCTCCTGTCGTTTTCCACTCTTTTCTTTTCTTTTCCACCTTCCGCTGTCCCTGAGGTGTTAGCGCTGGGACTCCCTGGGCTCGTATTTCTGCAGGACACGGGGTTCAAAATTACTCGCCTGGCTACCCACAGGAAGCATGGAAACCCCAAGAGAGTAAGATCCATCCCCTTTTTGGTTTTTTTGGCACTACTAGGAATTGAACCCAGGACTTACTCAGCCAATATTTACTTTGGATTTTGAGACAGGGTCTTGCTAAGTTGCCCAGGCTGGGCTTCAACTTGCCACCCTCCTGCCTCAGCCTCCCAGAGCGCTGCAATCACAGGTGTGCACCACCACAACCAGCCTAGCCCACTTCTTCAATTACTTAACTTCTCTGAGCCAGTTATCGCACCTGTAAGATGTCTCTTTTGAGGGGTTTTTATGATAGTCACTCAAGTGCCTGCACAGGGCTGTGGGTTCCGTCACCAGCCTTGACAGAAATAAACTGACTAAATGACAGAGGAGGGGCTGAAGACAGAAGTGGTCTGCAGGCCATGCTGCTCTGGGCTCTGGCAGTCAGAGGGCTCCAGCAACAGCCGAAGGAATCCAGCCGCCACCCAATCAGAGGCCCCTCCCCATACAGCTGCACCAGGAACTCAGCATGACCAGCCCTGCTACTGAGGCAGCCACTGCCCCTGCAGTGCCCAGGCCACATCCTTGGGCCACCATCACCGCTGCGCTCCTCAAGCCTTGCTCTGGGCAGGGAGCCTCAGCCCCCTCACTGAACCCCTCTGGGACCCTATGAAGACTCACAGCCTGTGTGGGAGTGGCTGTTCTGGTCTCCGTGCAACCTCTCAAGCTTGTTCGGAATAAACCTGTCCTGTTGAGCTTGGGCCTCTGCTTTTTCTCCTTTTCCCTAACAATCACCCCAGGAGGCAGCTCCCAACTCCCCTGGCCCCAGATGCTGTGACCTACCTGGGGAGCCAGGTCCAGAGGCCCCGAGGCAGGAGTGTGGCCGTGGCCCTTCCTGGGGACCTTGCTCTGTGACAAGCCGGTGACGCTGTGCTCCTGCTCAGGGCTGGGGATGGTGCCCTTCCTGCACCCCAGCTGTCACTCGGCCACAGCAGCAACCTCCTCTGAATGCTGGTTCAGGTTTAAATATCCCTGCCCCAGGAAGGAGACCCCAGGGGGCTAATGACCAGGAAACGCGTCCCCTCCAGCCCCTCTGCCAGGAGGCCAGGACACCGGCACCCAGCCTTCGCCTGGTCTGTCGCCCGTCACCTCCCCAGCCCGGCTGAGGAGCTGCTGCCTCAGCTCACTGGCCCCGGGCTGCTCCCCTGCAGGACTCCACACCAGTCCTGGTCCCCCGCCCCAGGGTTCCCCGAGGCTCAAACTCCTCCCAGCTGCCCTGCCCCCCCACATGTCGGAGAGATTCTGTCATCCAGACTCAGGCCAGCGCCTTACTCCCCCCCCTCCCTCATCCTGTTGTCCCCTCCCTTCACAGCCAGGAGCACCCAGGCAAGGGCGGTCTGTGACGCCAGCCAAGCAGAGCCAGAATCAATGCACACGTGTGGGACCCACGTCCCTGCCCCGGGGTCCAGGGTCAGCACCTCAGCCACCCTCTCCTCCAGCCCACGGTCCCCACCACCACAGATCTGTGGCTTCCACCTGACTCCAGCGAGCATTCATGCCAAGTGATTCAGATACCAGCTTGGGGTCACCCTGACCCAGCTTTGAATCGGGCTGTGCATTTCCTGCCTGTGTGACTTAGAGATGCTGGCTTTACTTCTCTGGGCTCGGTCTCATTGTCTGTGTCAGGAATGGAACAGTCCCCCGGGCAGGCATCAGAGGGCCAAGGGTCCCCAGAGGTGATGGTGGCTTACCTCTGAGCACAGCGGAGCTGTGATGCCTTCCACATGGGGGGGGCCCTCTCCCGCCAGGTGCCAGGTGCCAGGTGCCATTCAGCACTCGCTCTGGAAAAGAAGCCACCAACACCCGGTTCCCTCCCTGGAAGCAGCTAAATTCCAGGATCTGACCCTGGCTTCCTCCTCCCGCTTTTTTGCTTTTTTATTTTAAAATTATTTTTAGATTTGCAAGAATAACGCCCAGAGCCCCCTACATGCTGACGGGCGCAAGCATGTTCTCCGAAGGCCCCTGTGCTGGAAGCTTAGCCCCGACCACAGTGGCGTTAGAGCCAGGGTCCGGAGGTGGCGCTGGGAGGTCCTTGTTCCTGGGGCCCTCCAAGAAGATGGGGCTGCTACACAGTGAGTTCTGCTGCTGCTCCCGTCCCTCCTTCCCCATCTCACCATGGCCACTCCGCCATAGTGATGTCCCCCACTTTGAGGGGTCCCCCAGAGCTGGGCAGATCCAGGAACCACACTCCTGATCCTCAGAGCTGAATGCCAAATAAACTCCTTGTGCCCAACCTCAGATGTTTCGTTACAGCAACACGAAATGAACCACACACAGATCTTCAAACCTCACCAGCTGTCCAGCTATGCTGTTTCTGGCCCTGGATGGAAACCAGAACCCCACGTCTGGCAGGGTCTCCTCAGCCTCCCTGTTCCTGGACAGCTCCCGTCTCTCAAGGCCTTGAGGTTTTGAAGAGTGTTTGTAGAATGTCTCCAGGACCCAGCTTGATGCTTCAGGGGTTGAGGTGAGGCATCGGTGTCAGGACACCCCGCGCCCCTCAGTGCACTGACCCCAAGGTGTCTCTTTGCCGGTGACATTGAAATTGGTCACGGGGGCCAGGGGGCATCTGCCAGGTTTCTCCTCTGTGAAATACTATTTATCCCTCCATAATTAGAAAGAATCTTGAGGACAGATACTTGGAGATGGTCAGCTTCCTGTTTGTCCCCACACTTTTTCTTCCTAATTTTAGTGTCTACTGAGGATATTTTCCAACAATTATTGCGCAGTGTTTGCCAAGTCGTGATTTTCTCCATCATGCTGTCTACATGTGTTAATTGGAATTTCACTATGGGAAAGGGTCGGTTTCTCCTCTTCCTCCTCCTCCTCTTCTCCTCCTCTCTTCCTCCTATCATGCTGGACTGCCAGGCATTTACTTCATTCCATCACTATCATTATTTATCTTGCTAGTCATGTCTCATCCTCTCTTCAAGCATCTCAGCCCATCTGCTTCCTGTTGAGCTGGTTTCCCTAACGAGATGTGGCCAGAGGCTGTCACCTACCCTCCATGTCAGCCGTGACCCCGGCCGTCACAGCTGCGCCCTGGGCCTCGGCTGGGTGCCAGTTCTCCCTGTGGCCCCCGAGGCATCTTCCCAGCAAGACCCAGGCTTTCCAGGAAGGGCAGGTTGCAGCAGGAAGTACGTCATTACCCCAAGGCAGGGAGTTCCAGAGCCAGGCCAGGCGGCCTGGGGTCACCCACTTTCCCTCCGCAGTGCCAAGCCCCTCTTTTGCCTGGGGCAGGGAAGGACAGAGAAGCCCACAAAGCTGCCCATGGGGAGCAGCTGCTGGGCTTGCATGTGGGTGGGTGGCGGGCAGCTTTCAGGAGCCAGTTTCGTTTTCCTGGAACTATTTTCTCTCAGTTTAGGGAGATGGGTGAGTTGAGACAGGATCTCACTCTGTAGCCCAGGCTAGCCTTGTGCTCTCGGCGACCCTGCTGCCTCAGCTTCCCCCGAGTGCCGTGCACCACTACACCTGGCATCTTAAACACCGTCAGTGTCTGCAGAAGCTGAAGAGCTGAGACCCGAGGCCTTACCTGACCCCCTTCGCCTTCTGCCCCACCTGTCCAAGATGCCAGGCCCCAGCTGGGCACTAATTCTCACCAGCTTGAGGCCACACCGGACACAGCCTTCGGTGATCTGAATGATCTGCACTCGTTCATCTGTGCAGTCCTCCACCCAGCCCAGCACAGAGCTCAGCAGCCCTGCACCACAGCACTGGGGTTTGGAGCTCGTGGCCCCAGTCACACCCTCGGCCTCCACCCGGTTAGTTGACCCCTTCCTTCTGGATCCAGATGCTTCCCCTCCACACCCTCTGACAAGTCAGTAGTTTTATTAAATAAGTTGTTCATTGCGGCACTTTTCGGACATATCCTCCAATGTGCCAGAAGAGTAAATGAACCCCACACACCATCATGCTGGACTGGGTGATACCAGGTCAGCATCGCCTGTGACCCAGAGTAGCTGATCTGCACCCGCATCCCACCCTCTCACCCATCCTTATAGGAATTTGAAGCAAATGACAGGCATCGTGTCACTGAATCTGTAAATATCTGAGTAAGTACTTTGAAAAAACAAGAGCTTTGGGGCAGGGATGTAGCTCAGTAGTTGGAGAGCTTGCCTGATGTGTGAGGCCTTGGGTTGGACCCCCAGCACACCCATGTGCACACACACACACACACACACACACACGCATGTGCGCGCACGCGCACACACCAAAGATATGGACTGCCACTCTCATACCTATAAAAGGAAACAGCCCCACTGCTGTTAAAGTTATAGAAACTGTGTCTTAGATCTACCCCCCGGGCGGCTAAAGCCATGAGCTCAAGATGACTGGACCAGCCAGCAGGATCCAGACCACCCGAGCCAGCTGAGCCTGTGACAAAACCAAACTGCCACTGAGAATGACATCCCTGCTCTGTTCACCCCAGAAGCTGACTAGTGCACCCATGGCCAAAGCCTGAGGATCAACATAAGTCACAGTGACAGCATAACTCTCTTATCCTCTTTGTTATAATTCTCCCCTGCCTCATGCCCCTACTTATCAGAAACATTCTGCCGGCCAAGAGTCTGACAGCCAGGCATACCAGCCCTTGATGGACAGCTGTAACCAAGAACCAACCTCTGCTCAGTGGGTTGTACTGAACAGTACCTTGGGACAAAAACTGATGATGATAATAATGATGATGATAAAGATGATGCTGTCTATTAAAACTTGTTAGTGAAAGCATCAAAGGGGGAATGAAGCAGGACTTAAAGAAAAACAAGTTCCTCCTAGCCTTGGGCCCCTCCCTGGATCACCCCCCCATAGCTGTAACTCCTTGTTCTGGTACAGATAAAATTGACAACTACGTCTTGTAAAGAGATTATGATACTCCGTTTTCATATGATTCATAAGGCACTGTCTTCTTTCAAGGCTGAGTTACAGAATTGTCTGTCCTTGTCCTGCTCCAGTAAACTCACCTGCTGCATCCCTAGAAAGACCACCACCCCTCCAAAAACTGCAGGCAAGCTGGGAATTTTCTTTGTTCTCAACTCAGTCTTCTGGACAGGAGTCCAGCTGGGTCAAAGCGCACCTAGTTAGTCCTCCTGCTACCCACTGGTCTTTCATGTCTTGGAATTCTACAGAAGACGAGGCTGTGAAACTTCTGCCCTCCCCTGTCCCCTGCCCACCCAGGCCCCACGGGTGGACAGGAAAGACCCCGCCCACAGATCTGTGTTTCATACCAGAGGACCCTGTGGGCCGGCTCAGCAAAGAACCTGGGTTCCTTCCCCAAACAGGATGTTGGAAAATATCATATAAAATACTACAGACCAACTAAACTCAAAGCTGGGAGCAAACAAATGGTGAACAGGTCGGGTAAGGGCCCAGCATGGAAGACCACACGGCAGGACAAAGGGTTGCACTGTCCATCAACAGCTTGGGTGGGTCACAAGAGAACTGTGCTGAATGGCAAAAGCCAGTCCCTGAGGTTAAGCATTTTTGAAAGTATGTAGACTGAAAGGGCTAAAGACTCCATGGTACAACACTTGAAATGACAAAATTATAGAGAACGGAAACAGATTAGTAGATGGCAGGGTCTGGGGAAGGAAGGGGAGGGCATATTTGACTATAAAAGGACTGCATGTCATGCACACCTGTGATCTCAGTACACTGGGAGGCTGAGACAGGAAGATTGCAAGTTCCGACCCAGCCTGGGTAACAGTGACGTAGCGAGACACCATCTCTAAATAAACAAATAAATAAGGTAAGGATGTAGCTCAGGGCAAAGGCCCTGAGTTCAATCCCCAGTAAGGGGGTTGGGGGGGCACATGCAGGATTAACAGTGATGGACTGTGTTGTACCTTCACTGTACAGGTGACAGAATTGCACAGAATGAAACACACACACACACGCGCGCACAGACACATACAAGTGCATGTGAAACTGGAAAGTCTGAGACCACAGGCTGTGTCAGTACCACGGTCCCGTCTGTGACGCTGCCCTAAAGGTCGGCTACAATGTTACCACGGGTGAGCGGGGAGAGAGAAGCAGCCACAGCCTGTCTGTCCCTTCTCACAAATATATGCAGTCAATACCATGAAACATAAAGCTAAAAATCATTCTGAAACAGTTACTGATGCATTCTTAAACATGTGTGCCATGGTAATAGGCACATCTCACTACTAACTTATCGTTGAAGACCTGCCAGTGATCTCTCGGGGGCCACAGAGGTGCTCCTTGATTTGCCAGGTGCTGTAACAGAAAGCCAGAAGCTGGGCCATAGTTACAAGCAATAGGACTTAGTTCTCACAGCTCTGCCGCTGGAAGTCAAAGGTCAAAGCAAGGCAGAGCCGGGGTCCCCTGAGGGAGGCCCACTTCCTAGTCAGATGGCACTTGGCACCGTGAACTCAGGTGCAGAAGGGACGAGGGAGCTTTCTGGGTGTCTTTCACAGGGCACCAATCCCACTCCTAGGGGCTCCACTCTCATGCCCTAATCACCTCGTGAAGGCTCCGCCTCCAACTGCTACCAGATGAGGGTCCAGAAAATGCAAGGTGGAAGGTCACACAGCCAGTCCAGGGCACTGCTGAGCTCAGCGACTCTCAGGGTTCCTGTGGCAAGTCCTACTGATAGCATTACTGTGTTTTGTTGCCCACCATCAGAGTAGAGAAAACTAACTTTATTAAGGGTTAATGAAAGTAAAAATATAAATTGTTTCCCACCCAAATTCAGAGATTCCCCTGAACTACATCATGAGTCCCAAGTTAAGAACCCTTACTTTGCTTAAGGTGACCACTTTATCTC